ATAACAGTACAATGCAGAACTGTTTTAGTACAATGGCAACATAAAAAACAATTAATTAATTTTAGGAGCTATTATTTAATTCTGTTACGTTTATAATAGCATACTTATATCTCAGTAGAATAAATCACATTTATTTCAATGGGAATTGGCGTGATTTTTCAGTGGTGAAGAAACTTCCTAATGCAAATTTTGAGTTGGGTTCAAATTTGGTGAAAGCTGACACTCAAATTCGCAGAACCGACCAACAGTAAGCCAACAAAGCAAAATGAATATCCACAATCCAGTCGTTTCAGTGGCAATCGGCGAAAAGGAAGAATTGTGCCCAATGCACTTCTGGTGACATTTCCAAAGGCGAATTTCACATTGGGTTCAAATTTGGTGAATTTTGACACTCACATTTGCAGCGCCGACCAATAGAAAGCCACTTGGTTCAGATGTGACACTGGAGTGGGTGGAGATTCGTAACTTAGCAACAAAGCAAAAATTAATATCCACAATCCAGTCGTTTCAGTGGGAATCGTCGGAATGAAAAAAATCACCAGATGGAATTCCTGTGGTGAAGAAATTTCCCTACAAATGTTGCGTTGGGATCAAATGTGGTGAATTTTGACACTTGAATGTGCAGCACTGACCAACAGCAAGCCTCTTGGTTAAGCAGTAACGTTGGTGTGGGCGGAGATGCGTAACTTAGCAAAAATGAGCAAAAATGAATATCCATAATCCATTTCTGTAACATGCAATATTATAAAATTATCTATTTGGAAAGCAGTTATTTGGGGTTGGTTCGTTTGCTAGCCGTCAGAATGGCTTTGGATGTTTATTTTGTTGTCGCATTTCATAGCATTCGCTTGCGGAATTTCATTGATCAACGATAAATGTAACCAACTTTATGGGTCATTCACAACAAGGACGATGACTATAACAGCAACTATAAAGTTTTAATAATTGCTCTAATTCTACGAGAATAGCACAGTCTGCACTGCAAATATAACGATAACGACACTGAGGAACAATATCGTTGGAATCACTTTCAGAAAAAAATTATCATTAAATTTATCTTAATAGTTAGCGTCCTTGGTGTGAACAGGGTTTAGTAGTGGCAGACGACATATCTGCAGTGCACTCTTATAATTATCGTCCATTGTTGTAGATACTAATATAGCTATCGTTACAGTTATAGTTATCTTAATAGTAATCATTCTTGACATAACATCAGTGCACACTTATAATAAGAACGTTATTTTACATTGGTGTGGACGCTAATATAGTTATCGTTATAGTTCTTGATGTGAACAGGATTTTTAAAGGGTCATGAAACCCCCCGTTTCAGCACTGGTTAGTTCTCACCACAGTTTTAAAGGGGTCATATGATGTTGCTAAAAAGAACATTATTTTGTGTATTTGGTGTAATGAAATGTGTTTATGCGGTTTAAAGTTAAAAAAACACATTATTTTCCACATACTGTACATTATTGTTTCTCCTCTATGCCCCGCCTTTCTGAAACGCGTC